ATAATTCCTGCAATACCAATACTCTTCCCTCTTTCCAATCGTCCAAAGTTTTGCCCAAATGCATCACTGCTTCCAAAATCGACGTATTCTACAAAGTATACTTCAACATTGAGAATAACAAAGCTTAAAATTTGGACTTAAAAACTTTCAAAGAGCATTGGTTTAGATTCATGCTATCGCTCCTTTAATCATCGATGTCCTATTACCGGCTCTAAAAACAAACTGTTCACTTCGGAAAAAATCTTTGAAAAAAAAATGTTTGATCAAAGTTTAGAGCTTTCAAATCTTTACTTACTCGATAACGCAAAAATGCAAATTTGAATAATTTAGTGAGAAGTCTCCTCAGATTTTCATTTTCCTTCTCATACTTTTCATCGTCCAAAATAAGACGTAGCGGAAGCCACATTACCACCAAACAATTTAGCAGCAAATGCGATGAACGCCAAAGCTCGAATTTTTCATTTGTTTCATCTGTAATTGATTAAGACTAATTCTACTATTCATAAAATCGTCTCTATGAATTGGGACCGATTAACCATCAATATGCCTAGCCAAACATTGCGTCCATTGGCCAAGATAATGCCATTATATCTGACCGCATATTAATCTCTGAGAGGTCATATGGGTCATTAGTAAGTTACTTGTCTGTTAAGTTACAGTAAATATATTGTTTGGATGACAATATATAGTTTTTCGATTAACTTGACTGAAGATTCTAAGAATGAGTTCAGTTAATTCGACATTGCCGAGTTCCTATTGCATCCACATTGCGGAAAATACGAAGCTTTTTTTTTTCTTTGGGAAGAAGAAAAGTGGTTTTCTAGGACATTAAAATAAATAACAGATTGCAAAATTTTACCTTGAATTGGCTCAATGAATGTTTCACACATAGTCGCTTCTGAGCACATGGACACCGTCTCATCTGTTTCGCAACCATCAATTCCTTCCAATGAACGCAATGTTTTATATACAGCAAGTACCAATGATTTTTCATGTTGAACTGATGAAAAATATGCAAAATTAAGGGCCATCAAAATGTAATTATAGAACACAAACAAATATTAGATGTTATTCGTGTAGTCTTTTAAACAATTTTCGACTGCTTATCATTAAAGATGTTTGTTTCCAGTGCCCTGATATGTAGAAATTAAAAATTGAGATGTAGAAACCAACCAGCATGTTCGACTGACATTAAATTTTCAGCAACAACTATATGATGAAAAGATAGAGCAGCGATTTCACTCTCACGTCCCATAACAATTATGCGACGGATCACCTCATCTGGACTCAATCCTGGTTTCATATAAAACGGCAGCAGCAATTTCGCAATCTCGAAAAGGAGAAATATCAACAAATAAAATCGAAATAAGAGTACTATCGCCATTATATAATGGTTTTAATAATTTTATTCACCTCTTTCCGAACCATGTCAGATTCCTCAAGCGCAAACACCTTCAAAATGCGATCCATCTTCACTACTTCGCTAAGCTAAAACATATGTTATTCACATTATTTACCAAAAAATGGGATCCCACTTATTCAGTTTTCCGCTCAAGTTTTACATAAAACATATGCTAAAAATTCCTTCAAATCTAGCACTTTCCTTTCTAGTCTACATAACCTAAGTTACTTCTCGAAAAAATTAATACTAAACAAACCTTGATGAAACGGTGACCTACTAATGCATTCAGTAGTTCAAACGCAACCAGTCGAACATGGTCGCAACGATCATTGATCCCTTTGTTATCAAATAAGCATTTTAAGGCCCGTTCACAAGCATTTAGAGCACTTCCGCAACGTAAAAGATCGCGCATTCCTTCGTAAACTGCTATTCTTACACTAACAATGCTATCCACTGATAAAATGTCGATAATCTGCAGTTGTGACACTACTGCGCACAATGATGGCAACATTGACAAACTATTTTATAGTAAGATGTTATTAATTTATAGATCAAAATTAGACCGCACAAAAGGTAAAAGACACAATCTACGCTAGTTTAATTACCAGCGTAACTTAATATTTTAATTACAATTTTTACTAAGAGAATGGATAAAATATCTCGCCATCCTCAAACTACTGGTACGAATTAAAAAATGATCGGCCTTGAAAATTACCTGCGTCAAACACTGCTTGATAAAATCAAAAGGAAATGTGTCAAAATAAGTGCTCAGTATGAATAATGTTCGTCTACAAGCTTCAGACCGAATTCCATAGCTGTCGTCTTTCAAAAGATCGATAATTATTCCTTGTTGCATATTAACATTTTCCGCATTTTCCTGAACGAATTAATTTGGAATTACAGCCTTGATTTGCAGTGGATAAATCTGATTGTTTTGACAGTGCTCATTTGAACATGAAGTGAACATGAAATGGCAAGTATTGTTTTGTAATAAACACCAATTATGGCAAATGTCCTTCCATATAAGTCTTAACTGAATGTCTTATTGCTTAGAAATTTACAACTAGAAGCTCATATTTTAACAATCATGAAAGTTGTGAAAATGAATTTGGCAATTATGAGTAATCCTGACTTTATTATAGTGAGATAAAATATTGATAGAGAAATTTACCATTTCATGTCAGTTAAATAAACAACTTATTAAGAATTTCAATGGAAGACATTTTCCTTTCAAAGTTATTCCAAAAAAAAAAAAAACACTGTTCCTTCACTCGAAAGAAACTGTTTTATTGGCAAAAGACGGATTCAATTTTATTTAGTTTTATTTATAACTAGTACTACAGCTGATCAAAATCCAATGTCTTGCACTCTAATAAAATCCTTCCTTTAATTAAAACATACGATATCATCATCTGAAACAAATGGATAGAATGGCAAAAATAAGCAGCAAGCATTGTATCGCACCGTTTCATTGGCCGCCTTAAACAATGCTGATTAATTTAAAAAAAATAGACTTAATAACTGAAAGAGAACACTATGTTTTAAATTTTTAAATTCTCCCGACCAACAAAATGCTGACCAAATCAAAGAAAAATTCAGAAAGAATGAAACCTTTAGACAACGCCACAAATTCGGCTCGAATGTACGATATATCATTGCATCAATCTGTTTGCTTCTTGCTTTTCCGAAAGATTCGAGCATCTGCAATTCTTAAAATTTTATGAAGTCAAGTATGATACATAAATTGTATTCTAACGCGGGTATCACAAAAATGCTGCAATTATTTGGATATCAATTTGGATATTCTTTTTTTTTTGGATTTGGATATTCTTTTTACAAATGTACTAGCAAGTCTATGTTCGCTAGGTGTATCTATTTCATGCTTGCCTAATTCGCAAGATGTTCAAAACAAAAATACACAACTAACCGAAGTTCAATCAAATAACAAAAAAATAATAATACCGCCATAAATTTTTTATTATAGTGAAGATGCTGTAAGGCATAATAGACAATGTCCATAAAAATTCTTTCCAACCGATGCTGCAGTGTATGGATACCATCCTTCACAGCATTTTTCCAAGCCAATAATAAAACCTCACCATAACTGACACATTGCATTCTGAATACGAGTATATAAAAATGGAATCAATTGAAAATATTTCAAAAGTGTCCTTCAAGTCCCAAAGAAATAATTTTCAACTTCAGGTTGAAAACCGGTAAATCTTTACTAACTTGCTGGTTTTCTCGGATGTAACCACTTTCTTGACCAACATCCAGAATTTGTCAATACCAATTTTTGAAATAAAATGAGCTGCCAGTTTTTTGCCCTGAGTAGATAAAGAAATATTAACAATCTTAACTATAAAGTCGGAAATCGAAACTGAATTACTTAATAAAATATACAGACACAACAACTTATGAACCGATAGAATAATTCTGAGTGCTAACAAGATTACTTACAGATTCTGAAAAAATCGAACAGCTTTCTACAAATCGAACTACTTGGCAAGAAATTAAATGATTTGCAGAATAGTTTCATCGAATAACAGCTAAGAACCTGAGAAAACCTGTCAAAACAATTCAGTACAAGGATTTTCATTATTACAGAAATAACAGTATATTCAGGTCACAAACCTCCAATGAGGTAATAAAAGAAGGTTCGTAAACGGCACGCCTGAGTTCGTTGACTGTACATTTCTCCAATACTTCACTGACATCCGAATAAAGGCGTTTCAAGAGCTGTTTCTAAAAATGCAGAATTTTTGCACGACGATTGACATAAGGATTTAACTGACAAAATGTTGCTGCAAAATTGCTTCAGCTAATCTGAAATCTGAGCCTTTTGCAACAAAAATCTTTGGAATTTCTAATACTATAACGTTCTCTATAAATAATTCAATTTTTTAAGTAGAAAATAAAAAACAGCTCTGGACAAATACCTGGCCACGAATTGGCTTCATAGCTCTGATCAACAAATCCCCATAAGAACTTAATTCATAGTCCAGTCTCGATATGTTTCCTTCATCTTCTCTATTTTCGTTTCCATTTCTCGTTTTCATATTTCTTTTCTTTTTATGTTCTAATTTTTTGGCTCCCGATCCACTGGGTAGGAAGGTGTGTTCATTACCTGCATTATATACTTCAGCCGTGCAAATAATAACTTGTTATTCCTCAGAATAAGATAGTTTCCAGGGCTGGTCTGCTTCGAGATTTAGAAAATCTCAGAAGTCGACCACTCGAGTAACAGTGAGAATGTTTTCTTCTCTAGTAAAAGTTATTCTGATAGCTTATCTCTTCTACGTTATACTTCCTAAATAAAACTCGTTGCATTGACTGACATGAGGAGGGAATAAACGTAACCCATATGGTATTTCCTTCATTCTTACATATGGTATAAACAACTATTGGCTGAACAATGTACTAATAATTAGTTGAAATGTAAGAGAAAACGAACCGAAGGAGGGATTTTTTCTCGCACGCTGATCCACTTGTTTCTTTGGCATTTCCACTCCTGAATGCATGCATTGCTATATACAACTTTCTCACATGCTTTGTAGTGCTCGTATGGAGTGCACCTGCCACCCGAGTCATCCCGCTACCCAAGGCTCCAACCAGATAAAGTAGACCCAGACCCAACGGCCCAACAAACTGTCAGTACTCCCGCCAAATCCACAAATTTGATTGGCATCGTCGAGTCCTACAACGGAAAGTGGCTTACGGTATTACGCCAATGTTGCATTGTTTGTTACGCTGCATAAAGAGTGTGGTTTTTAGAGAGGGTTTCGGCAGTCAGAGCACAAAAATGTGAAAGAGGTATCGGTGCAGATGAACCGAGTTCTCCCGCAGGGTTTGGTACTTCGGCGATTGATTAGCTTCGGGTATGCCGCGGAGATGGGCAGTAAATGTTTGTTTCTTTACATCGATTCATATGCAAAATTGACTTCTGGAAGATTCTTGGAAATATAGGTTAAGGGCTGTCGTAGTGACCTCATACTAGGTTTGACCCTGTTGGATTGGGAATTTCGGAGTTTTATGATAAGTTTTATTTGAAAACACAAAGATGGATAGTTTCAGTGAGCTTTTTGGATTCAGAGGAAAGGAAACAATGGGTATATTATCGGCATTATCAGCAGCAGTGCGTGTGCGTGAAGATGGTCTGGTCTTGTTCGTAACCATCCTTGTTGGTAGGTTATTTTATCGTCAAAATGTAAATAAATATGTTAGTACCTCTACGCAGTACTGAATAACATATATTACTGGCTAGAAAGAAAAGGATAAATATTAATCATTAGTAGGTAATACTGGCTGGATTGGTAGATTCATTAGTTCCTTTACTAATCAAATGGTCACTTATTAGGGTAAGATTATATCCACAGCTATTGTTAATCTCTGGTTAAAGTATGTCTGTGGAATGAATTAGTGAGATTTTCAGGATACCCACTGGCGGTAATTCATCGATCGATATTTTATAACAAGCCACCCATTGTACAACATGTTTACTTTGTGGTTGCTGGATTGGCACTTTACCTATTTAACTATGGTACCATTTTAATGTCCTAAAAGTAATAAGGAAGAGAAACATTTAATTTTAATTTCATCCATCTGTCCCTCTTCTCATCTACAATCGTTTCATCCATCTGTCCCTTTTCTCATCTGCAATCGCTTTTTTTGGAGGGCTTTCCAGAAAAACTTTTGATTGTTTCTATCATTTGATTAGACTAATTTTTCAGGTGCTGCAACACTTCACAGCATTTTAAGTATATTATTAGCATACTGGATTATCACGTATTTTCCAGGCCAGGATGTGTCGGTTATATTAGCACATTTTGCATTTTTGGTGAGTTGGATGTAACTTTTTTTTCAAATTTTTTTGTCGTAGGTATGTTTCAAATTTCAAGAACGCTTATGATTTAAAACCATCTACTTATGCTTATAATTAAAAAGATACGACCTTTTTTTAATAGTATCAAATCTATTTTTTAAGGGTTTTTTTTCAATTATAGGGGCATTTATTAATTGGCTACAGTTATTCGGAAACTGATAATTATGATATCAACTGGACAACGTCGTTTTGCATAATGACTTTACGTTTTATTGGTCTTGTTATGGATGTTTATGATGGACATAAACCAGCGGTATATTTCTAGAATTTTATAATGTGATATAGTTATTGCATTACGTCGCGTCATGCGCAAGTGATCCAAGAATAAAAGTCTTCATCCCTTAAATTTCTTTTGTTCTTTCTTGTTAAATTTTATTTTATGCTGTTTTTGTTTCGTAAAACTAGTTATGAAAATTTTATAGCATGAAATTACTTTAAGAGAAGATCTTTTTTATTATAAGCATAAGTAAATAGTTTAGAAAATTTAAATCATTTTCTTTATTAAAAAAAGTGCTTAGTGTCTTAGCAATAATTGATCTTATCCTTATAAAGAATTAACGTAAGGAGACTGATTTCATCTTTTCTTATTATGTGTAGTGTGCATTATTTGCGGTTGTGGTTTAATAATGCTTTTTTTTCATTCTTTAATATATTACATTAATCAAATGGTTTTTTATTCAGAGTAAACTGGAAACGTATCAGGTACAAACAGCAATAAAAAAGCCTCCCGATCTTTTAGAAATTGCAGCTTTTGGGTATTTTTTCTGTGGAACCTTTACTGGACCACTTTTTCCCCTTTCTCGGTTCCGATCATTTGTTGCTGGCGAATATCTTGATAATAAGAAAGAAGTACGTGTGTCAGGGTTAGTTTTTTATTTAATACGCCATCTTTCTTTGATGTGGTGATAATTTTTTAAAATAATGATCCCTAATTTCAGGTTTATGCCCAGCCTGGGACGTTTTGTAGCTGCTTGTTTTTACGCTATTATATATCACTGGGGAGTCTTATGGATACCCAATGAATATTTTAACTCTCCTCAATTCTTTGTTAGTTTTTCGATTAATTCACCATGTACTCTTTAAATTTCTTCAAGAACTGAATTTTCTTAACCATAAAAATAAAGTAATTTCCTTTCTGATCAAGACAATTTGACATAAGTTTTGTTTGGGATGATCTTTTATGTATAATTTAAAACCCGTATTTATGAATTTTCAGGCACTCTCATTTCGATGGAAAGTAATTTGGATCGTGATTTGGTTCCGACTTACTATGTGCCGATATATTTCTGTTTGGCTTTTTACAGTATGTTTTCGATTATGTGCCATTTATCTGCCACTCATTACATTCAGGTGTTGTGCAGGTACTGGTATTCAGATTTCACTTGTCCTCTGTTGATGCGTTTAGTCGATGCATCCAAAGGCTTAATACTTCAAATGATTATGGGGAGAGCAGATGATCTATATTGTACCATCTCATTTTTGAATATGGTTTTTCACAGGAAGGGGCGGCAATATTGGCAGGTATTGCATATAACGGGAAAGATTCAAGAGGTAACGACCGTTGGGATGGCGTTCGTGATGTTCATATAATAAAATGGGAATTTGGTTTGGATTTCCAAAGTGTTATTGAAAGTTTCAATGTCGGTACAAACACTTTTGCTAAAAAGTAATTTTTTGGATTTATTCGCGACAAATGGCAATGCCTGAGCCTAACTAATTTGAAGTCAACACATTTTCATTTATACATTGTAGTTGAACAAAGCTAAACTATTGTGTAATGAGTTTAATCACATTCTTCCTTGTGTCAGGCGGATGTTACTACGGAAACATCCAGTTATGAAAAGTGGAAATTTTATGATCCGTTTTGCTTGAAATTAATTCATTGATATTTTTAGTCATTTATATCGACGACTGCGGTGGTTAGGTAATCGAATCTATAGCCATTTAATAACGCTTATTTACCTCGCAATTTGGCATGGTTATCATCTTGGTTACTTCATCCTTTTTTTTTTCGAATTTGCATGTATCTTAGCACAAAAGCAGGTAGGTTTCAATAGTTTCATTGGTTTCATCATTTTTATATGGAAATTGTTAACAAGTAGAAGAATAAGAATAAAGTAGTCAAAAATGAAGTCGAAAAATATCTTATGCAGTTTCTGAAAAATTTTCCATTATTATTTGAATTCTTATTTGAATTATTTTTAAGTTTTATTTATTGCTGAGTAAATCATCGAAGTTGTCGCACTACTTAGCACAGCCGTATATGCTGCCACTGAAATTTATTTTTGGACGTATGGTTGTCAATGTTTCGATGGGTATCGGTTTTCTAACATTTGGTCTTATCAAAACACGATATTGGATAAGGGTCCGTTACATTCTTTCAGTTCATTTTTTGTGACCTTTTAAATCAGTACAGCGATGATAGGATTTATCCAAACTTATTTTGATGGTTGTACCAAATTGTTTCTCACTACAATTAACAGCAACTGTTTACCGAAAAGTTCTCGCATAGTCTTGGTGTGTTTGCCTCTCAAACATTTTGGTTGCGGAATCTTTTTTCTTTTCAAGAAAAGCAATATAAACTTTTAGAAACAAAATATTTTAAACTTTTATTTCAGCCGTTTCTTTCTGTGTACTGTTTCACACATATATTTTTTATATTCATATGGCCATTACTTTATCGATATTTGCTCGGAGTAGGATACAAAGTGGTAACGAACATTCGCCATCAATGAATATTTAATTGATCGTGTGCTTTATGGTAGTTAGTAGGTTTGTTCGTTCCATTTTGTTTTCATTGTTAAATACTGGTTTTGATAGGGCTTTTTTGTAAAAATTTGAATAACATATTCGGATTTTGCTATATTTTAAAGTTATCACCTTGTCATTTATTCGATATGTTCTCAATGAAAATTTTAGTTGTTTGTTTTGTCGATGTAAGAATCCATTGTGAATGTGGAACTATTTGCTTCCGGCAGTGTGTATTTCAGTTTCACATATTTTGGAAAATTTTCTAGATATTTTGTGATAGAGTTTTCTAGAAAACGGTAAAGTTGTCTCCATTTCTTGCACTCCTACTTTTTTGTTCTCCTTTATTCCTTTTGTCTTCTCTTCTTACCCATATTTCAGCGATTTCTTTCATTTTTCAATTCGAGAAAAAGAGCAAAAAGATAATGATAAGTTTTTGAAACTTCTCAGCGATAGCCTTATGTCATCGCTGGCAGAATTCTTGATGCGGAAAACATTTGGGAAGGAGACTGCATAGCTACAAGCATTTGATTAAATTTTAATCAGTGAATGTTTTTCTGCTTAAGATATTATCATTTACAGCTTTACAGCTCATTACGATGTCAAATTTTCAGGTTCACATCTTAAGGTAATTGGAAGATAGGGGAGTCTCATGCATTCGGGTTTGGACTTTTCAATTTAAAGGTCTTAATGTTATGTTATCCGAGTACTTCATTATTTAAATATGCAGTCTTTTAAAATAAGTGTTGTGTAAAATTTTCATACAATAGAAACTGTTTTTAGGTGATTGCCACAAGTAGAATGTTTTGTTTCAGCAGATGATTTCTCTTATCCCTTTAAATTATATTGGTGCCACATAGTAATAAATTTGTTCGAATAAACGAGTGAAAATTTATCTTCTCTTGCAATAATGGGAGCAGCAGTTGAAAATTATTAAACAATTTAATGAAAAATTTTGAATTGAAAGGTCGATATATATTACTCACGATCAAACAGTTCGATTCAGTGGTCCTCATAGACATTTCAATCTGTCTCTGATCACAGCATCAAAATTTTTCATTTATGAAGGTGTGATACTTGGAGCTTATGTTTTATCTTTGATTTCGAGAACTACCAATGAAATAAGTTTTTAATCAAATCATTAAAGAAAAAATTATTTCTGCAATAAAAAACAAATTTCCTGAAGTATCCTTTCAAGAATCTTCCGTCTTATGGCTACTGGTCAAACTAAGCTAAGTATGGATAGCAAAGTGTTAGAATACTTTTGCCTAATTTCCTAATCAGCCATTCCGAATGAATGTATACGTAATATTATCGATTGTATTATATCGTTCTGATAAACGATTTCAGATTGTCAGATTACTGGCTTATTGTTATCATGCAAATTGCTGGCGGAATTCTCATGCATTAATTTTTTTTAAGTTTATGTTTCAAATTATCCTTTTGTAATTCTCCATTACGAAAGCACTTAGATTTCCCCGAAAATATTGTTTTCGGTCGACACTCCCTTCACATCTAAAGTAAGGTTTTTTAATATGACAATACGCCAAAAAAAAGTTTATTTGAATTGATCTGAATGACCCTAAAAAGGATTCGCTGGTAGCATTTTGCTATGTTGCGATGTTAAACTTTGCTCTAAACTTGTCAGAGACACAATAAATTATAATTTTATTTGTGTACACATACATATTCCGTAGAATATAAATTAGAGCACCACTCTTTGTGCTTTCTTCATTGTTCAATGATTTACATATATTTATTTGTTCTAATGCACCATTTATTTCTACCCGTGCTGCTGTGTAAAATATTATGTTGTTGACAGTCGAAAGCATCCCCACCAGTTCTATCGCTCTACTAATTCTATAAATTAACTTTAAGCTCATTATCTAATTATTGACTGATTAGCTAATTACGTTAGTAATTTGAGATGATAGAATAGAATTACATTTTGGTAAGAATTATCGGATTTTTGGAAATTTTGATCAAAAAAAATTAAATCAGATAGCTAAACAGATAGATTTATTTAATATTTGATTTATCCCATTTGCTGTTAACGAAATATTATGCAAATAACAGTAGTATTGATTGGTTTTTAGATAACAATAACGTAAATGTAACGATCGCTTTTCTTTGCTTTAACATGGAGTGATAACAAATAACAGCTGTTGATAACATAATTCAGTGATATTAGCAGTGACAGATAATTTCATCCCTAATCAACAAGGTAGTTTGGTTTTTGTAAATATTTAAATACTTTCAATTCTGTAAAATCTCTCTTTCTTTGACATCGTATTTTATTCTTTACTAATAACTTCACTGTTACTGTTGCCAACTTCTACTACCTCATAATGCTTCTGTATGTACATATATTCTCAATAAAAATTAATTTTGAAGTTAAAAATAATATTTCGAGAAGCTTGTTAGAGAAATTAAAAAAATGATAATAATAACATTGTTATCAAAATAATGTAAAATTAAAAGAAATAAAATAATATTTGCAATCATCGTAATTTCATAATTTGCTAAAATTTAAATTTGTATTGAAAATAGTAATTTTGTGGAATTTTAAATATGAATAAGTGGAAAAAAAGAAAAGTGAACATCGAAAAAATTTACTTTTCAAGATAAGAATAATTACTGTTGGACATCGCATTAACACAGCTATAATATTCATATCTCTTCATTTTCGTCGTATCTGAAGTTCAAATTACAAATTGATTCATTAGCGGTATTGAATCATTGATTATTTTTTAAGTATATTCTTTAAAAAAAGTAACAAATTATAGAAATAAACGACCTGAAACGTAATCAATGTCGCATTTGTTATTGTCATTGATTGTGGAATGGTACCTGGCACGTACCACTCGACATCGTCATCTCATTTCATCCCAAAAATGTAGATAGTTTTATGAAGAGATGTATGAATGAACGACCTACATCACATTAAGGTCCTTTTATATTGCATCTTTTCATTCAACAGTTCACAATGAAGAATTTTTGAGAAAATAAGAGAAAATTATGGTATCTGAAATGGTTAATTAACCTAAGTGAAAAAATTTTAATTTATTTTTCTTTAATATCAATAAATTGAAGACATTTAGACCAGAAAGCTTTAAATGACTTCGACATTAAATGCCTTTATAAGATTGTAAGGCCAACAGTAAAGATTTAACTTACCAGCTTTGTTAATGAGTAGCAGAAGAAAGAACGAAAATTGATAGCATATTTAATAAATATGATATGAATTATTATTTTGTTTCAAAATTTGGAAATTATTTCAACAAAAGAAACTGCTCCAATTGACAATGTTTTTAAAGAGATTAAATTATAATGCTAACTAACAAACTATTTCAAATCTCATACGAAATTAGTCACTCACCGTTTAGTGCTTCGTATGATATTAATGAGGATAACTAATTAATTGAAAATAGAATAATAAGAAATAAAAAAATTTCAGCGGCGAAATAATCCCTCCGTTGCGAATAATGTTGATTGAAAATTTGCTCCACAATTTGTCGGAGAAAATAATTTTGTTTGGCAAAAAAATGAAGTTAAATTAATGTGAAAGTTAATAAATCGGAAGTCCTCGCGATTATCATTATTGCTATTCTCAACATTATCACTATAGCTAGAATTTACCATTACTCGCATCATTTGCCAGCCAAAGTGATTCGTGAAGAAAATTATTCGTTCTCTTTAAAAAAAAAAAAAAAATTCCTGCTGTAAATTGTATATTTAGTCGTAATACGATAAATTTCTCAATAATGCATCCGCCATAAATTCTTATCCTATTATATCTATTATCATTATTGTTATTATCCTATTGTCATTATCATCATCATTATTGTCACCATCATCATCATCATCATCAATCATCATCATCATCAATCATCATCA